GTATTAATATTGGATAATTGATTATGATAATAATTAATAATTAATATTATTGTTGATATTATTATTATTATTATTATTATTATTATTATTAATATTATGAGGTGTTAATATTATTTTGGAATTAAAAGGAATTTGTGGAAATATTATTATTGGAATTTTTGGAATTAAGAAAATGGGAGAAATACTATTAGTTGGAGGAAAAGAAAATAAAAGGTGTAATATTTGGAACTAAGGGCATGTATGGAATATTGGGAAAAGAAGGAAGAGAAGAACACGCTTAGAAGCACGGTTGTGAGAAGAGAAAGACGATCAAGAGCAAGCTTGAGCAGAAGAGCGTTTGGGCTATCAATTCATGTGGATTCTTGAAGTTCTTCAGCATCAAAGCTGCTTGTTGAGGTAAGGGGGGGGGGGGATATATCGGTTAATTGGTATTTACATGAATGATGGTAGAAGGGGAATCCCTAACCCCATGTATGAATATATTGCATGTTGATGATGATTGATGATGAATTGATGCTATTGCATGTTGTTGTTGCTGAGATTATTGTGTTAGATTATGTTAATTTCGTATGCATGTGCTGTAGAATGATGGTTGAGTGAATTGGGAGCTTCTGGGTAATTTCGAAGTTGAGCCGAAAGTTGGTTTTGAGAACAGAGTTGATGATTTGTCGGATAGAACTGGGAATAGACCCCGTAACTAAGTTGTAGTATGTGGTTGGTTGTGGGTTTCGATTTAATCGGGCGAAATCGTGTGTGGGGGTGACTCTGCAGCTCAGAATTTTTCTGAGTACGCAGGTATTCGTTGGGCAAATGAGGGGCGAGCCTTCGCTGGGCGAACTAGCCAGCGAGTGCTGGCAGAAGCTTCTGTCTGGCTTCGCCAGAGGTTTCTCCAGGCGAATAGCAGTGAGCCTTCGCTGCGGGGCTTCGTCGGGCGAACGCGCCAGCAAGCCCGACAGCAGCTTGTGTTTTTGCTGCTGTTTTGTGTTGTTTCCTTGTGGTTTTGGACCCATGATGGTCATGTATGATGAGGAGCTTGCTGGAGAGCTGAGGTGAGCGTATGTGTGGCGTCGGGACGCGACGATTGTGGTACTCGTGAGATCATGATATGTGGATTGGGGTATGTTATGATACTTGTATGTTGTGTAGTGCAGGATGTGAACTCCTTGATATTCACTTAATTCGAGAGATTGCGTCAGTGTATGTTAAGACACATGTATATGGTGACATAAGAGTACTGAGTCCGATCAGATTGATGTGCTGTGATGATAGCTGGGTGCTGAGAGTGGGTTGAGGGTTGTAGGGCTGTGTGGCCGGCGTTTATCGCATTTGACATAATCGGTGGATTATGTGTTAAGTCTAGATAAGTATGGATGTGTGGATGTGTATGGATGTGTAAGGATATGTATGTGATATGTATGCATTATGTGCTATATGTGGTGATGTGTGGTGACGAGTGGATCCGTAGGATCGATACGCTTTATGTGCGTTGCGTTTACATACTGTAGTAGGAGGACGGGATCAGTAGGATCGTTATGCCTAGTGTGCGTGGTATTGACGTGTTGTGTGCGAGATATGAGGATCAATATGATCGTTACACCTTGAGTGCGTTGTGTTGGTGTGTTGTGGTGAGTGGATCTGTGGGGACCGGTACGCTTATTATGCGTTGCGCTTATGTGCGACTATGTGATATATTTGGGTCAGAAGGACCGACAGACCTTGTGTGCATTGTTTATGATAAGTTGTGTGGTGAATGGATCCGTGGGATTGACGCACTGTGTGTGCTTGTGTATGTATGCATATTATGATGCGATGGACCAGTGGGGTCGTGTGCACTGTGTGTGCTATGTGTTTATGCATAGTGTCTTGCATAGCATGTGGACGTGAGACCTGTGTGGCTCATGTGCTCCAAATGGGGAGCGTGGACGTGAGACCTGTGTGGCTCACGTGCTCCAAGTGGGGAGCGTGTGGGCGTGAGGTTTTGATGTACTCACGTGCTCCAAATGGGGAGCGTGGACGTGAGGCCTGTGTGGCTCACGTGCTCCAAATGGGGAGCGTGTGGACCCAGTGTATGATTCACTGGCGTGCTCCAGTGGGGAGCGTGGACGGGATTTGGATCGTTGCTCGGATAGAGTGTATGCGACTACCCGTGTCCTAAGTGGGGGATGTTAATGATTTGATTATATGGGCTCAGGAGAAGCGTGGTAGGGATAGATCGTTGCTCGGTGGAGTGTATGCGATCTATCTTGAGTTGAGTCGGTACCGCATAATTGTTAAGTCGAGTGCATGTGTTGCATTGTGGTTTGTGCGTGTTGTGATTGTAAATGAGGGGACAGTAGGTCCAGATGTGTTGCATTTGTGGTATGCATAGTGTGTTGGCATGGGACAGAAGGTCCAGATATGTTGTATGTGAAATAATGATTTATTGTTTCTGCCTTTTATTTCATGTACCTTTATACCATTATTATTTGATCGTGATTCTCACCCCTTTGTTATTGTTGTGGTCTATGCTTCTTCGGAAGTACAGACAATCCAGGTGTTTAGCTAGCTTGGATTGTGGTGTCTCTGTAGGACTGCTCTGATACGTAACACCGGGGTGTTTTGGGAGTTTATGTATTTATTTGTTGATTATATGTGCCCCAGTGGCGTATCTAATTTTGGGGGATATGTGTTGATAGTTGATGATACTATATATATTTTGGTGCGGTTAGCCGGCTGATGTATATGACGATGTTGATGACATGATGTATATGTGTTATTTCGATTTGTGACAGACTATATATATATATATATATATATATATATATATATATATATATATATATATATATATATATATATATATATATATATATATATATATATATATATATATATATATATATATATATATATATATATATATATATATATATATATATATATATATATATATATATATATATATATATATATATATATATATATATATATATATATATATATATATATATATATATATTCCGCTGCAGTTTTATTGAGAAAATTAACTTGGAAAAATGTTTTGTGGAATTTTAGTGTGAATTGTGACATCCCGTTGTGGGAGATACTCTGATGTTTGTTTATTTTAAGTGCTTTATTTTATTTTGGGAAACGGGGTGTTACAACAACCACAACCATTTTCATGTGGTATTTATAAAGGTCCCCTAAAAACTTAAATCTAGCATGAGTGCCTCTGTGTCAACTACCTCCTTATATGAATCAGTTGGGTCATCTTCCAAATAGGTAACCATCATCTCGATAGCGTCGTCTTGACCGATCTTGGAGTGTTCCAACAATTTTTACCAGATGGGAAGAAGTAGGAGACATGAGATATCATCCAGGATGATGGACATCTAGCTAATAGGAAGGTGGAAAAATGACGTCTCTGAGTTCCATCTCTCTAAAAATGTCGTCAGCATGCCATGGTTCATGGTCTTGTACCCAACAACATATTAAATGATAATCCCAGAGTAGCAAAGAACATTGTTGAACCAATCATCTTCATTCTGTTCAAGTTCCAAAATCTTTCTTTTGCGTTACAGATTTTAAACATGAACGCTCTTGTAAAAATAAATATATCAACATCAATAACGATTAAATTAGTATTAAATAGATGTAATGCAAAAGTAAATAAATATACCTCTCCTTCTCAAACATGCCTAGCAGCATGGTATCCATAGAGATGAAGTAAGGAGGTGTCATATGGGCCTCTTCGATAATTATCAACAAGGGCATCTGCATTAGCAGCGGGTTCCTCCTAATTGGCTTCATAAGCTTTAGGGGCTTCATAAGCAAGGGAGACATGACCCCGTGAAGTAGATGCCTGATATAGGAGACTTTGTGAAGTCCATATTTCCCCATCAAAAGAGGTAGCATCGACTAGTGGCCTCGTGGGCCGGACTCTGGCCCTCTCACGTCGTACATATGTGTGTTGGGACACAAGGTCGAGCATCAGTATGTCTTGGTTGTTTTCATCCATTGTACTTGTATTAAAACTAGAAAATCACATCAAAATGCAGTCAAGGAAAAATTCAGAGATGCATCTCCGTAAGCTAGTTCAGACAAAATCTGAAGATGTGTCTACAGAAAAGCTCGCGAGTTGTAGAGATGGAAAAAAACCCATTGATACCCTAAACTCCAACCAAATAGAATTGCATGTCTATGCCAACCACCTATTTCTAATGTAACTACTACCTAATGCATCTTAAACAACCTTTTTTTTTTACCTAACCTTTTTTTTTACCTAATACATTTATCATATCTCCAACAAAAAAAAATGAAATTAGAAACTTACCGAATGAGAGTTGTGGATGAAAAACTATCTCTCAATTCGCCCCTTATATTCTCAAAGGCCCTCAAAATTGAATTAGAGTGTTGAAGAATATTATGAATTTTAAAATTTTAATCAACCTATATTATATAGGTTATTGGATTGGTGAATACAAACAAAATCCCGACCTAAACGACCAATCAAGTAAAACATAAAAATAAAATTTTTGAAAAACATTGTTTTCTTCTTCTTAGTAAATGTAAAAATTGCAAAACGACGAAAAAGCCAAAATACAATATATAATCCTGTGAACCCTTTAATAACCCTATTTAGTATAGCATAGATATTTTGATAACATGAGAGGCTATTTTATTGACATTGTTCGTTTTGAGCCAAGTGTTATTCTTTTAACTATCACTCATATAATTACACACATTACACATACACACTTTCCCTCTCTGTCTCAAGTTTGTTTTCTCTTTCAAAATAATTCATAACCATTCAAAAAGCATACAATAACTAGCCAACCACCTGGCTTCTTATACTTCTAAAATATCTCATCACTCACACTCTAACTGTTGTAACCTCTTTCCTTCAACCATGTTTCCTAATATATATATAGCACCTTACTCTTAACTTTCTTAAAACTAACTCAGCCTTCAATTTCAATTTCATTCACAAAACCTTTTTCAAATCTCTACAACACATACAAATGGTTACTAGTGACAACTCTTCCAATTCAAGCCTCATTTCCTCAAAATCTTTCTCTTCCTTTGACATGTCATTGCCAAATTTGGAGGCCTTTCATGGGATGTCAGTTTACAACGAGGAGGTCCGGTTAGCGGCTAGTACTCCGAAGAAGCCTGCAGGAAGGAAGAAATTCAAGGAGACTCGCCACCCGGTATATAGGGGTGTGAGAAAGAGGAACCTAGATAAATGGGTGTGCGAAATGAGGGAGCCGTGCAAGAAGACTAGGATTTGGCTAGGGACTTTTCCCACGGCCGAGATGGCTGCTCGAGCACATGATGTTGCCGCAATGGCATTAAGGGGCCGATATGCCTGTCTCAATTTCGCCGATTCACTGTGGAGGCTCCCGATTCCTGCAACCTCTGATACAAAAGATATACAAAAGGCGGCTACTGAAGCAGCCGAGGCTTTTAGACCAGACAAGATTTTAATGACTAACGACGTCGAAACAGTTGTAGCTGTGGTGGCTACAAAAGAGCTGAGTACGTTTTGTGTGGAAGTAGAAAAAGAGGAAGACGCGTTGAATATACCAGATATGTGGAGGAATATGGCTCTAATGTCCCCAACACATAGTTTTGGGTATGATGATGAGTATCAACATATTGATGTACAAGACTTTCAAGATGATGAAGAGGTATCATTATGGAACTATTAAATTTTTTGGATTGTAGTATTGAAAATGTCTTTACTACAACCATTTTTATTTGTAGTGAGGATATATTTCCAAGCTTTCTCTGCTTCCTCTTTCAATTTGGAAAGGATTTTCTTTTTGCAGCAATAATTGCGTCTTAACTCTTTCATTATGCATGAAAGAAGAATATATTTTTTGTTGCAATTTCAACTTTTGCTACTCATGCTTAGCTTGCATAAATTGAGGCAATTAAAATTAATGTTTCTCTTCTTATTTTTCTCTTCTCTTTTGCAGGATTTCAAAATAAGGTTTGTAACCATTATTTGGGTTGGGACTGGAATTCGAATGCATTAACCGCTTTTCTCCGTAATGATTGCAACTTTTTACCGTGTCTGTGAAAAATATTGATCCAGACAATATTAACTGATAATTTTCAAAATAAAATTCAAGAGAATACATTTTAATTAAACTACCAGGACCAATGGCTTCATTTCTAATTCCATTGATTAGGAATATTAATCCATAACTTAAAATCTTAAGCACCAAGATTGAACCAAACCTGAGAAAACCAAACATTCATTTTCCATAGATGAATAGTTTGCGGGGAAATATCTCCGAAGAGCTGGTGGAGCTGTTCAATCTACAGATCTGATCCAATTTTTGGTTTGAAATCATAGAAAACATGAATGCATAATAAGTAAGCAAAGCATATTTGGCGTTCCGAATTCCTATGTTTGGATCTCATTCAAAGCATGAAGAACGACCTGTGAACTGTCAACTTCTAGCAAGTTTTATTCTTAAAGCATGAAAGAATAACTCCTGCTTTTTCCACCATATTCGATGTCACTACCAAAACCTTTATGGAAAAAGCAAACTGCCATCGGCTGCCACAAGGAACCAGCAACTCTATAACGATAATTATATTGAATTTTGCTGGAAATTCGCTAGAACATTGAACTCGACAGCCGCGTAACATAAGAAAATGAGATAAGGACTTATATTGTAACAATCTACATGGGACATCAAAAACTTTATAACAAAAACATACTACATAAAAAAAAATGGAATGAATCAAAAGCCAAAACAATTATAATTTGACTATTTTTTATTATTATATAATTGTATTTTTAGTGCATCTGACCAAAGTGTTTTTCATCACCATCCATCCATTATGCAGCATATATACCGAAAACACATCAATTCATTTCCAAAGAACCAATTATGTGTATTTCTTGTCTCATAATATCAAACTTTACTAACCAAAAAAAAACCTAATGAGGAAAGTAAATCAAATGACAAATCCTTAGACCAAAAAACAAAACAGCAGGCTCTAGCAACATGAATGCATGATTGAATGACTATATATGATAAACATAACCATCCAAATGTTTTAAACTAACTAGAAAAAAAATATTATAAACTCCTGCAGAAGTGAAATTGGATAAGTCTATTTTAATTATATAAATATAAATTTATAGTTAAGTTTATTTATTAAAAATCAAATGCGTGACAACTCGAAGAGATTAAGAGTTGTCAAAGCCTTTAAGATTTATTGTAAGGTTGAGAGTTAACTCACGTAGGAGTGAAAATCTCAGCATCTATGTATTTATGTATTTGAGTTAGGTTATTCTCTCAACCATGATATTAGGGTATTTATAGCCGCATTGAATTTGGATTCAAGGCTTCCTTAGAAATAACAACCACTCAGGTATGAATAGTTTGTTTTATGATATTTAGAAGAGTGTGATATATCTCCCCACGACTTATTCAGTGTCGTTACAGCATGAGGATACGTCTTTCACTAATTCCCACGTCAAGCGACTTATCTCACAAAAGGGGAGATATCTTATAAATAGGTGACTGAAAGCCCCCTCGCCTCTGAAGACCTTATAACAAGTATACAAATACACATTTTCTCAAGCACGAGGGCTTGGGAAATGGCGGCGTGATTTTTTTTCATCATCCTCATTCAGACACTCCGATGGATTGTAAGTGAGACGTTTTTAGGTCAAACTCTCTCATATAAAGCATTAGTGGAGTCCCTCAGGTGAGAAACGAGTTGAGTCCCTCAAAGCTCCATATGGTAATCTTGTTGATCGACTTTGCTTGCAGTATATCATGTGGAGAAGCATCTCATTGACCCATATTGTTTGGAATTGTTGGGTTAGTAACCATAAAGGGAGCAAATCTTCTCTAATGATGACTTCAAGATTATCTTGCCTTGGGAAGAATATTTGTTTGATCAAATAATGTGTCACATGAATCATGGCCTTTAAGTAGATTGCTTTGATATAATGTTTTTTTTCTTCCATAGGATTCATGAGAAAAGAAAGGATAGTAGTGGAGAGTTTGAATCTTTTAAATTTTATTGGCCCATCATAGGTATAATTTACTCCATAGAAGGGTAGTTCAAGAACTCTTCTGAACTGATCTGTATGAATGTCAATCTCTATTCCTTTCACATATCTCTTCAGAGATAGATCTTCAAACTTCAAGTTTGAATACAATACTCTTACAACATCTGGAAAGACTCTATTTGGTATTTTTGTAAAGAATCCTCTTAGAAAACTCTAACAGATGTTAACACATGATTTGAAATCATTGAGAAAATTTTCTTCCATAACAACGGATCGTAAGACCTTACCGTTAGAGATTTCTTTCCTTTCTTGACTTCTCAAGGATGACCCTTCCAAGAACAATCTTCTTGAAAAATAATTTTTCAATGGGGAGACTTCTTGTTTGAGTCATAGATGATGATATTATAACTATGTGATGCAATCTAAGACAGGGTGATTTAGGATTACTGAATTTTAAACATTTTTGTGCTAAGTTTCTTAATTTGTTAAAGTATCCTAAGTGATGATATGGATGTTACTTAGAAAAAAAAAGTAAAATGTATAATTTTAAGTGTATAAAGTAAATATCACACAAAGATTTATACTACTTCCTCTTACCAACTTAAGGGTACATATATTCCTTCTATTCTCTTAGAGATTTTCAACTATGATCAAATGGTATTTACAAGTCTTACACCAAGCATTCTAAAAATACACCTATAAACCAAACAAGAAAGCACACCACTATCTTGTTTTCAAAATAAACACCAAACTCTATGGTGGACTTTGAATCACCCTGATCTAAAGAACCTTTTTTACAATCACCAAACATTGGTAAAACAAGTCACACTAATTTTGTTGAGAAATGAAGAACTTATGTTGTATATACAGTAGTCACATTAAAACTATGATTTTTTATTCTTATAGATATTACAATTCAAATGTGTATCACTTAATCCTCAGAATATGTTTTAATTTTGAAATGAAGGTTTACAAAGATTTAACCATTTTGAAAATGATATTTGAATTTTTTAAATTAGAATGTGAAAATTTTTAATTTGTTTTCTGGTGTATAATATCTTCTCACTCAAAGTGTGGCGACACTATTTATATGGCGTGCATTTTGAGATGTTTAACGATCATACGAGTCTGAAATATCTCTTTTATTAGAAGGAACTAAATATGAGTAATTGAAAATAGATGAATTACTCAAAAGATTATGACTTCGAGTTGAAATATCATCTAATTAAAGAAAATAAACTAGCGGACACTATGAGCAAAAAGGAAAGGTATAAAATTGAGCTGATGATACTAGAGTATAACTTGCTAGTGAAGTTTCAGAGCCTTAACCTAATTTTTACATGGAAACAGGCAAGTATCTTAATAAGTAACATGAGTATCACATGCGATCTGAAGGAAATAATACGACAAGGCTAGTTATGGGACATAGAATTACAATATAGAGAAGACAATTATGGTTTCGCCGACCCACAAATGGAATCCTCTTGTTTAGTTAGAGGGTGTGTGTATCGAATAAGTCAGAGTTAAAAAGAATAATTTTAGAGGAAGCCCATCAGACTGAATTCACCATTTACCCTAGTTCCTTAAAAATGTACCAATATTTGAAGAAAAGTTTATGGTAGCCAAGTATGAAAAAGGATATTACGGAATATATGGACAAATGTTTGATTTGTCAATTAGTGAAACTTGAGTGCAAGAGGTTGGGTGGTATGTTGCAACCATTGGAATTTATCGAGTGGAAGTGGGAAAGCATTTCAATAGATTTCATCGCTGAATTACCTCGTACTCTTGGCGACCATGATTCGATCTGGGTTATTATGGATAAATTAACCAAATCAACCAATTTATTACACATCAATACTACGCATAATTTTATTAACCTAGCAATATTTTTCATTTCGGAAATTCACTGACTGCATAGTGTTCCGTCTAGTATTGTATCCAATCGGGAACTGAAGTTTACTTCGAGGTTCTGGAGAGCATTCCACCATGGTGAAGGAAATTACAATACAAAACGCAACAGAAATTACAATCTTTCCCTTAGTGATCCTTATGATCAGTGATAGAAACGATTAACTCTTGTGGCGATAAAACCTTTGATGTTGAATCGAAGGAGTGGTCATGAGTGTTGAATGATGAACAACGCCTATACTCAGTCCACACGAACAAATTCCTTCAGTCTCAATGCTAGCTGTTATGATTGAATGCTTTGATTGAGAGAGAAGGAAAATAGGATAAGGGTTTCACAGACCAGATTTTCATCAAGTGTGAATGCTTCTGCACAAGGGTTCTATTTATAGAACCACTTGTGTGGGCTGCAAGCTAAAAAAAACCACTTAAGTACATGTGCACCATATCTTATGGTGTATCGTATATCACTTAAGTGCATGGTACCTTACCATATTATGTATTCTACTTAAGTGCACCGTACCTTACAGTGTTCTATATTTATTAAGTGTGTTGTATCTTACGGTGTTCCTTATTTACTCTACCTCTTATCAATTTTTCCTTAGGTGTGTGACCCTGTAGGTTTTCGCCATGTTGGCAATTATAATAAATCACGCATTTAACCTAGTAAATAATAAGCAGTATCTAGCAACACATCACTGCTATCCAAGTCACGAAAATGTCATGTTATCTGACAAAACCTTTTCTGATAATACTTGTGTGTATAACTACCCTTTTGCACTTATGTTTATATTGAACACAAGGTATATGTCATGTCATCCTTTTCCAATTCAATATTGGGCCCTTAGACATTTATCCTTTTACGTAGGATGGGAAAATTCCATCTAGGTCACTCATGTCCCTCAGCATTATTTGTGGAGTACCCATCAACTGTATTTTTGGTCATCCAGTTATAAATAATATTTGATCAGCAATAAAGTACCCGACTCTACATCTAAGGTCCATAGTGGTTTCAGGTCGAAGGGTGGTATACACTATTATCACCATGAGAGTAACTTATGAAACTTTTCATAACATTCTATGCAGTAC